ACCCTATATAATATACTATCAACAGCACTAATATTACCACTAGTGCTAAAATATGCAATTGATTTATAGTATAATAAATAAATTTTGACATGATTATCCCTACTCTTATAATAATGAGATCAAAAACTTAATTAAATAAATTCTAAACCCCTGATTTGAAAATAATAAAATTGCTGTTAAAATTAATAAGGTGTAAATCAAATAACACATTAATATAACCTGAATAAACTAGGTATGAAATTGTCCCGGGTTTCGGGCACCAAATGTACTGATTATCTTGTAGTTGATCGTAAAGATTATAAAGATTATCTTTTATTGTATGAATAATATTCCCATATTCATATACAATGTATATCTATATATATAAAATTTGACAACATATTATTTCTTCAACGTCACACGTCATCATCGTGAAACGTCATCACGACACTACCCACCATAAATTATCCCACCAAGATGATCTCCTCCAATTTATCTACTATACAAAATCGAATAAAATAATTAACTCCTTGTATTTGCACTGTTAACTCTCCCCTACTGACAATCGTCTTCCCATTCAATAGGTACAATACCTTATCTGATTTCTCTAACTTACTTTCCGGCCAATAATTTAACACCTCCCCTATTGCCATTAAACTTAATGTCGCTCCAGTATCAATTAAAAATTCTACCTTTATCCCTTCCATATTTAAAATCCCAAGTGGACATTTACTCACCATTTCCCAAACCCTGGACATTAACTTTGACCCCTACACAAACACCCTTTCTGCCTCACCCATCCGACCCATCTAGTTGGACTCTCTTTGTGGACTTAAAAATAACCCTTGTACCTTACTCCTCCCAGTCGAACTATTAATGGACTTTAGATCTCGGACTATTCCCCTAAGACTCAATACCTCCTCTAAGACTTTGGAGTCCTCAACAAGACTTAACTCTTCCCAATTCTTCCACATCCTAACCCTCCTTCCTCCTTTACTTTCAGTGTTTCTATGGATTCCCATGCAACCCCAAATAACCCCATTTAAACAATAATCACCAATATCCCTTAAGTACCCACTCATATCTATATAACTATTATAAAAAAAATCTCTGCCTAAAAATACATGTAAAATATCCAAATTAAAATTATACATATTATAAAAATCAAAAAAATATAAAAATTTAATCAAAATCATTGTGAAAACACTATTAACATTAAAATAATTCTTATAAATATTAATATATGTATATATATTCCTAATATTACTAATAAAATTTCTATTAACTATATATTTATATAAATTTAAACCATAAGCTATTAAATTATTTAATTTCCTCCTTTTCTGTAGTCATGTCCCCACTCTTTCATGACTTCGGGAAAATCCTTAATAATAATATTAGGGCCAACCTTATTTTGTCATGATTCTCTAAGTGGTTTGCCCAGGCTTTTTTCTCATTCATTAATTATAAATTTAATATCTCTAGGCTTGGGAAAATTTTGTCAAAATTATTATGGGTTGGACAGGGCTTAAAAAATATTTCTCAAAATTAATATTGGCTTGGTTTTCAAAATTACTAGGGATTGAAATGGGCTTAAGAAAATCTTATTAAATTATTAAGATCTTGAATGCTTGGAAATTTTTTCCAAATATTGTGGGCTTGAACCTATATTGAGATTTTTGATGTTAAATGTTAGTCTTATGTTAATATTTTTATAAATAAATATATTTTACCCGTAGATTAATTGGTAAATCAGAGATTTCCCTCTCTTTAATTATAAATTTAATATCTCTGGGCTTGGTTAATATTGACCCATCTACTGGTTTACATTATTTTCATGTTTGTTTAATTGCAACAATAGTTTATCTATATTTTTGCCTGATTTCTTTATTTGTCTAGGCTAACCCAACCTTAATCCCTCACATTGCTACAAAACATGATGAATCTATTAAAAATAAGCAAATAAAATAATGACGAATAAACAAACGCGTTGCCCGTTCTAGAGTGGTAGCCAAAATAATAAAGAACTACTCTTGAAATTAACTCCTCTGGAGGTTTATTTTGTTTTTTTTATCTTATGTTTTATATTTATATGTTTATTTTATTTTCACCCAGTTGCCTTCAAATGATATTTCTATCACCACTACCACAATCCCTATGTCACCTCAGCCTATTTTTTAACATATATAAGCATTCAATTCCCTACTATCATTCACTTTACTATGAGTTTTTATAAATATTACTTTATCCGATTCTCTGAGAAACTTTCATGAATATTTAGAGGAATGTTCAAACTTGAATGTGCAGTACGGCCATTTTCATCAACTTTATTAATGGAAAAATATGCAGTAGTTCTGTTGTGGCCTTTATAACAATTCTTACTACCTTTTTATGGTTGAGTTAACATTGTCGTTCATGATTCTATTTTAGAGGGGGCTACCAATGCTGACATTGATAGAAATATCATTTTGCGTTGTTCTTTTACCAGTATCCCAACCCCAAGGCATAAGCATATGCCTCATCTTTATCAGGACGTAATGTGTTTTGTACACTGCTTTGGTAATCCTTCATTACTTTTATCTACAACCCTAAATGATATGAAATTGTACATTTATTATTTCCTCTCCAGACGACCGCCCAGATAAAAATAAAAATATCAACAAGGGGTTGCTCTTAATTTTATCAAATACACAACATAATAATTATTTTTCATTATTTTAAAAAAAAATTAGCCTAAATTTATATGTCAATAAAAAATATATAAATAATTTACATATAAGTTTAATGGCTTTTTTGTAATTTAAATAGATAGCACTTTTTTTTTACTTACATTAAAATTCAGACAAATAATTTGGGAATTTATCCGAAAAGCTACAATAACCCTATATAATTAACAACAAATTTTTTATATATAATTTTATTTGACCATATTACCAAAAAGTATAAGAGTCGGTTATTTTTATTTTATTTGTCATGATTCTCTAATAAGTGGTTTGCCCAGGCCTTCCCTGTTTCCCTTAATAAGGAATTCACGTGTTTTTTTTTTACATCTTAAACTAATTGGTAAATCAGATATTTCCCCTTCATGTTATGATAAATCAATTAAAAATTTAACTAACTCCGAGATGGGAAAAAATTTTCAAAATTATATTGAATACGACTGGGCTTGGAACCTCAAAATTAATATTAGCTTGCACCTGACATAGGAATATCTTTTACAAATTATTAAGAGTTGAGCTGGGCTTGATAAACTTTTTTATAATTATATGCTTCCTAATATTGTGAGCTTGGACCTGGCATGACATCTATCATAAAAAAATGAATAAAAATCTCATTCCCCGTCATTTTTGACCGGCTTTCTACTAGTTAATCTTAATAAATTAACCTAAATTAACCTGAATACTTCTAAATATGCGCAAGGTCCTGGGTTTCATGTACCAAATGTTTAACGTCGTAATGTTTAATTTCATAATATTAGTTGGTAATTTAACTGTAGTGATTAAATCATCTTGATAAATAATATTCATATTATATTATATCATATCATATCATATCATATCATATCATATCATATCATATCATATCATATCATATCATATCATATCATATCATATCATATCATATCATATCATATCATATCATATCATATCATATCATATCATATCATATCATATCATATCATATCATATCATATCATATCATATCATATCATATCATATCATATCATATCATATCATATCATATCATATCATATCATATCATATCATATCATATCATATCATATCATATCATATCATATCATATCATATCATATCATATCATATCATATCATATCATATCATATCATATCATATCATATCATATCATATCATATCATATCATATCATATCATATCATATCATATCATATCATATCATATCATATCATATCATATCATATCATATCATATCATATCATATCATATCATATCATATCATATCATATCATATCATATCATATCATATCATATCATATCATATCATATCATATCATATCATATCATATCATATCATATCATATCATATCATATCATATCATATCATATCATATCATATCATATCATATCATATCATATCATATCATATCATATCATATCATATCATATCATATCATATCATATCATATCATATCATATCATATCATATCATATCATATCATATCATATCATATCATATCATATCATATCATATCATATCATATCATATCATATCATATCATATCATATCATATCATATCATATCATATCATATCATATCATATCATATCATATCATATCATATCATATCATATCATATCATATCATATCATATCATATCATATCATATCATATCATATCATATCATATCATATCATATCATATCATATCATATCATATCATATCATATCATATCATATCATATCATATCATATCATATCATATCATATCATATCATATCATATCATATCATATCATATCATATCATATCATATCATATCATATCATATCATATCATATCATATCATATCATATCATATCATATCATATCATATCATATCATATCATACAGTGACCCCTACACTTTTTGAGGGATAGAAGCAGAATACCCCCTAAAGTACCCCCCCCCCCCATTGTAAATTATTTTTTGACACCAATAAATTTCAAAAATAATTTTTATTGCATCAATATTTATTATAATATAAATATAATGTAAAAAATATATGCTTTAAAAATATTATTTTTAAATTAATAATTTAGATAAATTAGGGGAAGAGAAAGCAAACGAATTTATAATTTCATCAATATTTAATTGTTTAAATAAATTATTTTCCATTGATAAAATGGTTAAATTATTAAGAAATGGATCTTTCATGACACTACGAAGTCTTGTTTTAATTAGTTTAATTTTACTCATGACCCTTTCGACAGTACATGATGTAGTAAGAATAGTTAATAAATATTTATATAACATTGTTAAATTTGGGAAAGCAGAAAAATTTCTAAGCAGACGATAAGGTAAAATAAATGAATAGTTTCTCCAGTCTTAATCATTCATCTCAAAATTATTATCATCATCAGAAGAAGCTAAATAATGTATTAGTAAAAATATTTTAATTAAATAAATTTACAATTCTCAGAATCTGACAAATCTTCTTTAACCTCTAGGTCACGAGTAATAATTACGTCCCCCGTTTTAGCCATTTTATAAATATTTCTAAACATCAACATTTCCTCAAAAACTTGACTTGTATTTAATTGATAAAATTCACAGATATACTTGATATCATCTTTAACAATTGCCTTTTCCGCCATTCCCTTTGGGGTAAAAAATGATGTTTGACTCAAAAATTTTATCGATTCATCGTTAAATCTTTCACTAAACTGCATAATAATTAAATCAAGTGCAGCATAAAACACACTGATTTTAAAGCTAAAATAAAATATTATATTTAATGATGAAAGTATATATATACCTCTCCTTTTTGGATTGTAATGTTTGAAGTCTTGAACTTTCAAAATCAAAAGGTAAATTTCTCTTCTTCATAAAATCTTGGGCCTTTGAAAAGGCATCCAAAAATTCAGTGTTATTATCTATTTTAGGATTATAAAATAATAAAAGATAATAATTTAAATTATACTTCTCATATTAATCAGGCAATCTTTTGCCAATTGAATTTGATTTATTGCAAACCCTATATCCTTCGAAATGGTTTGCAATTTTGTACAAGCCAAGCTAGTTATCAACAATATTTTATCCAAAACACATAGTGATAAAATAAAATCAAATTTTTCTATTCTATAGACTATAGCACTAGCCATAGTGGAAGTGGCAGGATCTTCAGAATCCTTTAAATTTGCCAAAGCTGCCCTCAAAGCATCATAAAGTAGGAAAAAATTTACAATCGCCTTATATAGCCAGCTTCTATAAATATAAAATAAACATTATATATCGAAACAATTAAGATAATATTACCGAGTGGTATTCTTGATGCGTAAAAATCTATGTGATTTTGTCAGTAAATCACTCTGACATGTTTTGAGCACTTCATATCTTTTAACACCATTAAAATATACGTAAATTTCGTCTATTATTCCCAAGACATTTGGCAGCTCTTTTACTGATTGGCATAATTGAACAACTATTAAATTTAATCGATGACAATAGCACCAAATAAAAGCTGCCTTTGGCGCCTCCGCTCTAATCAAAGCCTGCACTCCATTAATTCTTACACTCATGTTTGAGGCGCCATCATAGCTTTGCCCCACTAGGAATTCGAGGGGTAGATTCATGGAGCCAGGCTTGGATATTATAGTCTCTTTAATATCGAGGCCCGTTGTATTTCCCGTACAATAAATGTCTATCAGCCTTTTAACGGGCTTAGGTGTCTCGCTATTTTCAACATATCTCACTATCAAAGCTATTGCTTCTGATTTCGATACGTCATATGTGCCATCAACTATAATTGAATAGCACCTGTTGAATTCAATCTCCTTTTGAATTTTTTTATAACCATATTTTTCATGGTTTCAATAAGAATATTTATGTTATTATATGATAACAGATTTGAATATAATTTAGATTTTAATCCCTTAATTTTTTTCTCACTTCTTATTTAATAAAAAAAATTATTTTGCTATTTGTCCAATTTTGAGAAATATTATTAAAAGCCACTATTTCAAAGCTTTTCTTTATATCGTGAAAATTAAGCCCACCATGTCTTTTTCTAATATGATCTGTCCATTTATCATCTCTTATATTATGATATGTACAATTTTTAATCAAGCATTTATATTTTTTTTGGTTAATATTTTTGGGCATATTTTGACAATGATCTAAAAATTATAAATGATTATATATAAGATTTAATATTTAAATTTTTACTATTCCCTTTGATAAAATTTTAATTTTGCGCCAAATCTTGAAAGTGGAAAAATAATTTTATGATAAGAAATATCGGATAACAAACTAATTTGCTAAACATCGACCATAAAAATTTTTTTTTAAAATTTTAAAATAAAAAATTTAAAAAAAAAAGTACCCCCATAGAAATTTATAGAAGCAGTTGCTTCGGACCCCCCCCCCCCCTCCCCCGTTGTAGGGGTCACTGATATAATATCATATCATATCATATCATATCATATCATATCATATCATATCATATCATATCATATCATATCATATCATATCATATCATATCATATCATATCATATCATATCATATCATATCATATCATATCATATCATATCATATCATATCATATCATATCATATCATATCATATCATATCATATCATATCATATCATATCATATCATATCATATCATATCATATCATATCATATCATATCATATCATATCATATCATATCATATCATATCATATCATATCATATCATATCATATATCATATCATATCATATCATATCATATCATATCATATCATATCATATCATATCATATCATATCATATCATATCATATCATATCATATCATATCATATCATATCATATCATATCATATCATATCATATCATATCATATCATATCATATATCATATCATATCATATCATATCATATCATATCATATCATATCATATCATATCATATCATATCATATCATATCATATCATATCATATCATATCATATCATATCATATCATATCATATCATATCATATCATATCATATCATATCATATCATATCATATCATATCATATCATATCATATCATATCATATCATATCATATCATATCATATCATATCATATCATATCATATCATATCATATCATATCATATCATATCATATCATATCATATCATATCATATCATATCATATCATATCATATCATATCATATCATATCATATCATATCATATCATATCATATCATATCATATCATATCATATCATATCATATCATATCATATCATATCATATCATATCATATCATATCATATCATATCATATCATATCATATCATATCATATCATATCATATCATATCATATCATATCATATCATATCATATCATATCATATATCATATCACTCCAGTGCAGTGAATTTGCATTCACTGTTTGACAGTAATTTACTCTACTGTCAGGGTCCGTTTAATAGAGGGCTTACGGTACCTCTTGTGAATAAACAAAGATCCACTAAATTGTCAGTAATTTACCCTACTCTAAGGGCCCGTCTAATTTAAGAGAGCTTACGGTATCTCTTGTGGATAAAGTTAGTATCCACTGAGTTGATAAAGATATATAAGAATTAGAAATTTATATTTAGTAAGAAAAAAAAAGGTGTTGTTAAATATATGTATATAAGAAAGAAATATAATAATAATGATATAAATAATAGATGTGTAGACTAAAAGGTATCATATTATATACAAAAGATTCCGCGATTGATATAATAATAATAAACATTTATGATTGATCGACTGACAAGCTTCCCGCCAACTACAACAGTTATTATTATTAATACCCTCTTCAATTGCAAATATATAAAATTTTTAATTAATTTGATAATTTTATCCTACCTATCCCAACCTATTTTTATTATGATTTTTTAGTTTATCATGAACTATTTTCTTATTTGATTTAAAATGAATTCCCCATGTACGTTCACAACTAATATCGGAATAGTGTTGTTAAACGGCTCGTTTTGAGCCGATTTTTTAAAAAATATTACGCAAGCCTGTAGATTTTGTCTGTAGAAGGAACAAAGGTTTGGATATCAATTAGCGAAATCTCGAGGCTTAGGCAATATTTTCTGCCTAAAATATTGAGTTAACCGTTTTTAAAATCGGCTCAAAATGAGCCATATAACAACACTATCTCGGAAAAACATGAATATTAAAAATTAATTTTATTTATTTCCTTAACCATATTATTTTATTCTCTACTTATTCAGATTTTTAAAATGTTTATCGTCAATCCTTAAACGTTTAGATTATTAAGAAAAAGAAGACAATATTCATAATTTGATGAAAAATTGAAAGAAAACTGTTTATCATCATATTTACCCTTCAATCATATGTTTCATGCACCAATTGACAAGTCATCGTGTAGTCAAATCTTTATGTGATAAATCCATTGCTACATTAAAATTAACGTAAATGACAAAATTTGAAAAAACTTATTTGGGCAGATCATTGATCAAAAAGTTAAAACGATCTAGACAAATTAACAGATCACAGTGGCTAAACGAAAATGAATTTTGTGTAGGAAATTCGGATCAGCAGGTTAATCTAAAATCTTTAACTGAAGAAAATGATCTGCAAAGATTATTAGCAAAGGCAGAAAATGACGGAAATGAAGTTAAAAATTAATTTATAATGCTTATATAATTTAATTATTTATAGTATGAAAATACAAAAGAAATTAAATTTGTTAATGACACTATTGAACCTGGCATAGAGGAGAAAAAAATTATATATTTAAGAATACCAAGAAGGTAAAGTTTATATATTTTAATCTATATTTTATGTCATAAATTTCAAATATTTTCATTATTAATTTTTTTTTATTACTAACCCATAAGATAAAAGGTGGGTTAAATATTACCCCACAGTTGTTAAAAAATTTATAAAAATCTTATGTTATATAGGCCTAGTTTTTTGAATCTTTACCAAATTTTATTTTTTTTGAATGAGTTGTTTTTAAGATATTCACAAGTTTAGCTTTGATACAAATGAAGATTTTTTATTACATATAATATTTAGGCATGTTTATAAAATTGGGAAAAAATATATTGAATTTGGCTATCATATGGTCACTACAATGTTGAAAATTTAGAAATTTATTTTATTTCTTGTTAAAAATTGGTAAACAAACTTTTTTAAAAAAATTTATGCATTTACTTTAGAATGTACTACTCAATGTTATTAATAATCTATATTTATATACTTGATATTTATTATATATATAACATTATATTTGGTAAATTCAGTTTTGAATCAAGTTATGTAGTGTTTTTAAATGGCTCATTTTGAGCCGATTTTTAAAAATGGCTAACTCAATATTTCTTCCAGAAAAATATTACTCAAGCCTGAAGATTTTAATCATAGAAAGAACAAAGGTCTAGATATATATAGAAATCTCGAGGCTTATGCAATATTTTTCTGGATGAAATATTGAGTTAGCCGTTTTTAAAAATTGGCTCAATAAGAGCCGTTTAACAACACTAAAGTTATGGAGACAGTTTATTAATCATTTAAAATTGCCATACTCTGAGTAGTATGAGAAAGTATAGTGGTAGACAATAGAACATTATTATAATAAAATATAACTTATTAGTTGATCAACCTTGTTTAACTTATTCTTTAGCCAGGAAGTTAAACTGATGGTTTTCTTATACTTTACACTTTACATCTAAAACAAATAACCTGAGATTATAAATAGATCACATTATATTAAACTATTATCTAAGATGCTGGTTACTCCCTTTACGATGTCTAGAAATATAAAGGATATAAAAATCATTGTTAATCAAAGATGAAGGTATAGTTCTTTCCCAAATATGAAGGATAGAACAGCTTTTATAATTATAAAAATATGTTTTTAAATTTGTAGTATGGTTTTTATTTTTGAGATATATAATAAATATATAGTTTCATATCATTTTTTGATGATGATAATTTTATCTATTTTAACCTTAATACAATAAGTATAAATTTATATGCAGCACACTATATATTAAGGGTCTGCCTTGAGCTCAATTTTCAAGCCCAGCCTGAAACTTTTTATAAAAAATTTGTCCAGCTCAATCCTGAACAAATTTTTATTATTTGTTTCTAAAAGCCATATTAAAATTTAAAGAAATTATTTTTCAGCCTGCTCCAGCCCCAATTTATTAAAATATAGAAAAATTTAACAAATAAATTAGCACCTTGTTTATTGAAGAATTTAAAATATATCAATTTGTTTCGCAAAATTGAGTGATATCATATCTAAAAAATTTAAACCCAGCTCGAATTTGTTTTAAATTTTTTTAAAAAATTGGCTTGGTCTCTAATATATATGGCCATATGCACTGCTAAACAAATACTACATATATTAAACTTATATATAATATACAACGAAATGCTTTTGTCCTACCAAATACATAAATTTAGGTTACATAATTTGTTGTCTAAATAGAATGATATATTGAATTAAATTAGGCTAGGTAAATACCTATGATTTTTGTCAAAGAAATTTTTTCACTCATGTTGTAAGAATTATAGCATCAAACAAGTTACCCTGTTCAGTTACATTTTTACATCAATACCAGTTCCCCCTACAATTTCTGAACGATGGAAGCAGAATACCCCCCTGAAAAGTACTCCACTCCCCTCCTTTTCTAAAAAATGGTTAATTATTTTTTGACACCCATAAATTTCTAAAATAATTTTTATTGCATCAATCTTTAATATAAATATAATGTAAAAAATATATACTTTAAAAATGTTATTTTTAAATTAATAATTTAGACAAATTAGGGGAAGAGAAAGTGAAATAATGTATAATTACATCAATATTTAATTTTTTTTTTTCCATTGATAAAATGGTCAAATTATTGAGAAATGAATCTTTCATGTATTACAAAGTCTTGTTTTAATTATTTTAATTTTACTCATGACCCATTAGTACATGAGGTAGTGGGAATGGTTAATAAATGTTTATATAAAATTGTTAAATTAGGGAAAGCCAAAAAATTAAAAGTAGACGATAAAGTAAAATAAACGAATAGTTTTTCCAGTCTGAATCATAAGTCTCAGAATCATCATCAGAAGAAGAAGTTAAATAATGTATTTGTAAAAATATTTTAAATAAATTTACAATTCTCATAATCTGACAAATATTTAGATTCTTTAACCTCTAAATCACGTGTTACCCATTTTATAAATATTTTAAAACTTCAACAATTCTTCAAAATTTGACGCGAATTTAAATAGTAAAATCACAGATATCCTCGATATCATGTTTAACGATTGTCTTTTCCGCCATTCCCTTTGGTGTAAAAGATGATGTTTGATTTAAAAATTTCATCGATTCATCTCAAGTGCAGCATAAAACACCCTGGTTTTAAAGCTAAAATAAAATATATTTATGATGAAAGTATTTATACCTCTCCTTTTTGGATTATAATGTTTGAGTCTAGAACTTTTAAAATCAAAAGGTAGATTTCTCTCCTTCATAAAATCTTATGCCTCCTAAAAAACATCCAAAAATGAAGTTTTATTTATTAGGATTAAAAAATAATAAAAGACAATAATTTAATTATACTTCACAAATTAATCAGGCAATCATTTGCCGATCGAAATGATATGCAATTATGTACAAGCCAAGCTTGTTAGCAACAATATTTTATCCAAAACACAAAGTGATAAAATAAAATAAAATTTTTCTATTATAAAGACTAGAGTACTAGCATAGTGGAAGTGGCAGAATCCTTAAATATGTCAGAGCTGCTCTCAAGGCATCATAGAGTAGAAAAAATTTACAATTGCTTTATAAGCTTCTATAAATATTAAATAAACATTTTAAATCTAAATAAGATAATATTACCGAGTGGTATTCTTGATGCGTACAAATCGTTGCGATTTTCTCAGTAAATTATTCTGACATGCTTTTAGCACCACATATTTTTTAATACCATTAAAATATGCATAAATCTCGTCTAATATGTCTAATTCGCAGTTCTTTTATTGATTGACATAATTGAACAATGATTTAATTTAATCTATGATAATAGCTTAAATTGCCTTTGGCGCCTACGCTCTAATCAAAACCTGCACTTCATTGATTCTTCCACTCATGTTTGAGGCGCCATCACAGCTTTGCCCAACTAGAAATTCGAGGGGTAGATTCATGGAGCCAAGTTTGGATATTTTTTTTTTTAAATATCGAGATTAGTTGTATTTCTCGTACAATATATATCTCAAAAGGCTTTGGCATCTCACTATTTTCAACATATCTTACTAACAACGCTATTGCTTATGATTTCGAAACATCATATGTGCCATCAACTATAATTGAAAAGCACCTGTTAAAATCAATCTCCTTTTGAAATTATTTATAAGCATATTTTATGGTTCCAATGAGAATATTTATGTTATTTTAAGATAATAGATTTGAATATAATTTCGATTTTAATGCCTTATTTTTTTTCTCCCTTCTTTTTTCTTCATTTTTCTGTATATACATTTTGAGTACAGGTTCAGAATCTGCAAAAAAGCCCATCATATTGTCCTCTTGTTTCCTGTTCCCCCAGAAGTCATGGTTACGAGATATTAAATAACCTAGACATCTTATTATTCTTATGATAGAACGGTTATTATCCACACATTCTTTCTAGGGATATTATAAATTGTAATATGGAATTTTTATTGCGAGAAAGCCTTCCATAATCGACCATCATATGTGCCTGTGAAGATTCATGCACATTAATATCACGATTCATATTTTGCCATTTATTTAGACCTTCACATGTTCATTTTGAATTTGAGTGTGGATTTCCAAATAAGAGACATTTTAAACAAAAATCTTTATTCATATTATACTATATGTAATCCAATTTCTAGCAATTTTACTCTTGTCAATAATGGACTTTCATTAATGGATCTGTTTTTATTATTAATATCATTGGGAAATAAAAATAATGTTTAGGTTGGAGAGCTCCTAATTCTAGATATTTGTCAATTCTTTTTCCAACAATATTGATGGGATAATTTGATTCTTAAGAAAAGGGAGGGAGAGGGAAGATATGATTTTTAAATTAAAATATGAATACTACTATCTATTCATATTATGCTTAAAAAATAAGTAGAATTTAATATTCCAAAAAATAAATAAATATAATTATTCTATATATGTTATGCATTAAATTGTTATTTATTATTTTTGTAAAATGTTTATTTTATTATTTTTGTGTTGATCTTGATTGTAACTGTAGTGCCCATATATTTATCTTTGACGAGATAATAAATATAAATTTATCATTTTTTAAAATATTATATTACTTGTTTTTCTTGAACTTTTTCTTTAGCTTTGAAGTTTCTTTTCAAATAATATCTTTTGCCTATTAATTTTAAAATAAATAGAATGTAATAAAATATATTTTTTTAAATGTTGTACTTGAAAATAATTCTTGATGGATTTACTTTTGTGTGTTAATAAAAATTTTGGTTGTGGTTCTTTACCTTTTTCTTGTTTCATAGCCATACTCAGATTAATCTTAATGGGTGTAAGTTCTTTTTCTTCCTGTTGTATTCAATTCATTAAAATTTAACAAAGATAAATTAAATATTTATTACCAGTAGAGAGATAATAGGTATTTCTTGTTCTTCTTCATTATCAATTCTCTGCTCTGTGTCTGCCTAAAAAATATAGTAGAGTAGATAAAAAATAAGAGTAATTAAATAACTTAAGGTCCACCAATTTCATGATCATTATCAGAGTCAGATACTATAT